AACATTAAGTCCAATTCTTTTATTCATCATAGGGGTGTTTGGGCTGCACTTCGATCATTTTTATAACAGGTGTGTATTATCTGATGTTTTAATGTGTTAAGAGTTGTCAAAGTTTTCCTGCTCATCCACAGTGACTACGGACAGAACATACAGGGAAGTTGTTCTCCTGAATTCCACACATCTGTTAGACGTTCATCATTTTAGTTGATGCTAAATGTTATTTCTAAAAGCCATGGAGCTCTGTGCGTCTGTCCTGCTTGTATTAAACAGCTCATTTAGGAGGCAGGTGAAGAAGTGAGCAGCTCCTAACACAGATTATCACAAAGAACTCTTAATAATGTTTTTTTTTGTTGAATGTACCATTTTTGTAAACATTTGGAGTAGAAATTTAAATCTAAACTACTAACTCAACTTAGTGCACAGCCCTGGTTTTGGTGGATTGATGACTTTTATCCGTTGTGGGTTAATCGATGTGATAAAGTTTCTTGACCAACTCACTGGCTCACGCAGGAGGCGTCCATCTGGAAGAAGGTGTGATCCATGAAGAGGTCGAAGGCCTCCTTTTTCCAGGCTCGGCGGGTGTACTGGTACCCACTCAAACTGCTCAACAGCTGGATGCAGGCCCGGTAGCTGGGAGCGTTGTGTGCACTGTGAGGACAAACAGGAAAGGCCACACTTTCACCCAACTTGGCAGATCACTGGAACTCATAATTACCGTAATTTCCAGACTATTGAGCCAAACAGAAGCTACACCCACTAAATTTAAAAAGAAAAAAATAATTGTAAATATATAGGCTACACTTGTCTAGAAGCTGCAGGTGTCCATGTTGTAACACGAAATATTTACACAGAAATATTTTTTAAACTTTTAACTAAATATGCCCCAGTAATATTCACAAACATGTACAGTAAATGTTTTTTCTGAACAGTGCCTGTAACACAGCCGGTTAAAAAAAATATACAGTAACCTACCAAGAAAAGTCACTCTTCATCTTCAAACAACTAAAGTCATCTTCTTCAGAGTCTGAATTGAACAGCCTCAGAAAAACGTCATCACACACATCCTCAGTCTCTTTTTTGTTGTCACTCTCACCGTTACTTTTGTCTTGAAATAAATTTGTGATTTGATTTATGATTCACACTTATTTCGAGTGGCTGCAAATACTTAAGTTGTGCCAGCAGGGAGGGGGGAAACTTTCATTCTCCTGTGAGCACAATGGGGAGGAGAGAACGGGTCCCAGTGACCTGTTCATTGGTCAGATTTTTTTTTTTACCTTTATTTATACAGGTAGGCTCATTGAGTCACGAGGACCTACCCCGCCAAGACAGACATGTATTGGGCAGCTATGCGAGTGCCCGGGTGTGACGAGGCTAAATGTTTTGGCCGCATGAAGCTCGTTAGTCCGTCCAAAATAATAAAAAATAAAAATCCATAAATTAGCCACATAATTGAATAAGCTGTGGTGTTCAGTAGGTAAAAAAGTTGCGGATTATAGTCCACAAATGATGGTGCCCTTAAAAAAGCTTTTTGAAAGATTTCAAAATTGTTCTAAAGTTTTCAAAAAAGTTCAATCTGGTCCTCTGGACATTCAAAAAAACAAAAAACAAAGCAAAAAAAAATATATAGAAACGTTTCGTCTCTCATCCTGAGGACTTCCTCAGTCTGAGGTGCTGTTTTCAGCTCAGTCTCTTAAATAGCACCTTCTCAGAGTGGATCAACCAGTTTTGCTGCTGACAACCAAAACCAGCTGATCACATGCTCAAGAAGGACCATCAGCCTAACAATGGATCATTAGCACACTGATGGCTGTTTACTGTTCACAGAGGGCTGAGTGATACTAGCAATCACAGCATTGTAAGAGGGGGACAGTTGAACCCGGAGGCCTCCACCCCTGTTTAATGATGGACGATTTCTTTTCACAAAGATGGCCTCCTTTACTCCTCTCTCAAACCATCGTTCCTCTCTGTCCAGGATGTGAACATCTTTATCCTTGAAAGAGTGACCGCTGGCCTGGAGATGAGTGTAGACCGCAGAGTCCTGGCCTGATGATGTTGATCTTCTGTGCTGGGCCATCCTTTTGGCCAGTGGCTGTTTAGTTTCCCCGATGTAAGACTGATCACAGCCCTCCAGACACTGAACAGCATACACAACATTGCTCTGTTTGTGCCGGGGGACTGGATCTTTGGGATGAACCAGTCTTTGCTGTAATGTATTTTGGGGTTTGAAAGCCACTGGGACGTTATGTTTAGAAAATAAACGTCTCAGTTTCTCTGATACTCCCTCAACATATGGAATGACCACTGGTCTGGGTCTGGGTTCCTCCTTTTCACCTGATGGCTGACTGGAGTCCTGTTTGGGTTTGTCCCAAATGTCCAATGTCCAGAGGACCAGATTGAACTTTTTTGGATTTTTCTACCTGGATTATTGAGCATGCATCAGGATGTTCTACAGTTTTGTTATTTTAAGAAAAAGTAGACTTTTCCACACCTGTGGTTGCGGAGGTAGGGCACTACGTAGTGCATGATGTTAATCAGCAGAGGGATGACCTTCTCCTTCTCATCGCTGTAGAACACCATGTCCAGCAGGTGAGCCAGCACCTACCAAAGAAAAACACTAAAATCACACTGAGCTGAACGAGTCGGAAGAAACAGCTGAAACCTAGAAGAATGAATGAATAAGCTTCCTCCACAGCACAAACCAAACCAACAGATGGATTTACTGGTTTAGTGCTAATGAGTGAGGAGGTGGAGAGAGCGCAGGCTGAATGCTGGAGTGTGTTAGTGTACGGGGGGAGTGACACAAACGGGCCCAAACACCAACAGCACGGCAGCGAGACAGAGCTGCAGACTGAGAGACGGCTTGAGTCGTGGATGCTCTGGTGTTACCTCGGCCAACAGCGTGAGGGCGTGAACGCTGTACACAGATGGAGTGAAGCTGGAGGCCTCCATCACTGTGAGCATTAAATCTACAAAACACACACACACACACATTAGCAGCTTCTACAGAGGTCATACTGAACATGCAATGTTCGAGGCAGACCGATTTCACACAGAATCACTCCTTGTGTCGCTCGTGGTAAAAACAAAGAAGGAGCGTTAGTAGCAGGCATGTTACACAAGTGCAACAATAACTAACAAGCAGCGGGCCGATGTCCCCGTCACTGAAGGATTTGACTGATGAATGTTTTGTAGTTTTCAAGATGAGCATTTTTCTGGACTGGCATTGAACAGGAAATGCAAATAAACCTTAATGTTTTTGGAGCAAGATATTTGAGTGGGTAGAAGCTACATCTGAGGTGGGCAACGTTTATTGCCAGTCAAGATATTGAAAAAAATCAAAGGGGCTCATAGAGAATTATAAAATACATTTTATTTAAAACATACATCCTAGGAGACTTTCTTTCATTTTTTTTCTTGTTAGCATGCTTGCGTGTCTCCCCAATAATCTTTAGGATGTAAAACTCCATAAATTTTATTTTATGGAAATATCTTTGTTAGCTTAAATATGCTAAATGAAATTTTAATTAAAGCATAAAAAAATAAGTCAGATAAAAAGAAGGTTTTAGTCTTTTTTAACCAATAGGTTTTTGATGTATTTGTCCAAGTTTCCTTGAATTTCATTGATAAAATGCAGGTTTTCATCAACTTATTTAAAAGTTGTTTTCTTTTCAATTAAGGATATTGGGGGCCGAATAGAGTGTTCAGGGGCCACTTTTGGCCCTCGGGCCATACGTTGCCCACGTCAGTGCGACACTGTGTTGAAGAACAGAAGTAGATTTGTTTTCTTGTCCAAAGTTGTGCAGAGTGACAGATCAAAGAGAGAGGAGGAAGCAATATTTCCACAACCAGGTGCAATGAAGGAGCCAGGGGGAGGCCCCAATCATGGAAGGAAACTATACTTTTAAGTAATATAAAAACTAGAAAGCATAGTTTCCTCAAATGATAGGGGTGGCTGACAGACACACGCAGAGTGTGGCGGCTGTGGCTGAGTGGTTAGAGCAGTCGTCCTCCAATGTAAGAGTTGGGGGTTCAATTCCACCAGCAGTCACATGCTGAAGTGTCCCTGGGCAAGACACTGAACCCCTCATTGCCTCCAATGTGCATACCATTGGTGTATGAATGTGATCTAAAGCACTGATTAGTCTTTGTATAGATCTAGTAGAGTGCTGTATGAATGGGTAAATGAAGCACAGATTGTTGTAAAGAGCTTTGAGTATCTTGATAAGATAGAAAGGGGCTATATAAGAACATTTATGTTTAGTGGTGGCCATCTTAGATTTTAAAATGGCAACCCTATTTCTGAAATGAACCTTTCTCACAACTTGATGTAGCCACTCACCAAGATGGAAGTTGCTATCTCACTTATTTTTCAAGTTATCCGACTTGCAACATTCACAGACTGACAGACGGAGGACATTTACAATTCCCCCTTTTTCCTCTGCAACGGGGGATAATTAAGCAACTTGTCTGCCATATTTGGAGGTATGGTAAACATTTGCAGACAGCTCACCTTCTACATCTGCTTCCAGGTTGCTTCCATCCACAAGTATCTGTGGAGACGCCTTCACCTCCAGGTTTCTCCTCAGCCACGTGGTTTGCTCTAAAGAGGAGCCGGCTATCGTCCCGATGGCCTCCACCACTTTGTGAGTAACATCCTGAACACAGAGAAATGTCTCAACAGGATCCTTTCCCTGGCACCCACTTTATAATCATTACTGTAGATTAAAAATGTTAAGTAAAATACTACCAGGTCACTGGAAAGACCTAACTGTGGACTTTATTTTCTTGACTTGAAGCGTGGGGAGAATTTTAATGAAACTTTCAGAAAGCAGTGAATGTACCTCTACAGCTGCCAACTTTAGTATCAACCTAGTTCAGCTAATCAACCTTAGCCAATTCAATAAAGTGCTGATAACTCAGTGAGTTTTAGACACAACAGGACAACATTTGGTGAGATAGTATCAGAGAGTAATCACCAAAATATCCCAGGAGTCGTGTTACTTCAAGGTTTTTTTTTTTTTATCACGCACTAAGCAGCAGCCCCCTTCAAAGTTTCTTTAGGAACTTTTCTGTTTGTGAACAGTTATTCACAGCTGGGCTGACTTGCTACAACTTCATTAGCGCTGCAGTTTGTTCTCACAGGCTTCCCAGCATTTCATGAAAACAAGATTCCCTGAGTTTATTATTCCCGAGTAAATCCTGAAATGTCCGGAGATAT